AACCCTTCAACTTTTTTTTACTGAAAAGGAAAAAAAAAAAAGACTGTAAGATTTTTGTATTCACTTTCAACCAATAATTAACATCAAACAGAAGACTAAAAAAAGACTTTTATTTTTTTTTTGTTTATTATTTTTACGTATAATCAAGAAAAATAAATCGAGACAAGTTGTTTTTTTGCTATTCGATTAGCTATAATTGTAGTTTATACGATGAATATCGACAGCAAATAGCAGCAGTAAAATATCATCATTATTTTTGAATCTGATATTGCTTACAAGAAAAAAAAAAAACTTCATAAAATATGTTGATCGACAAAAAAAAAAAAAGAAACTGTTGTAGAAATACCATTGGTTTTTTTTTTTTTTTTTTTTTATGATATGTTATTTTTACAACATTTTCTTTAACAAGTAAAAAATTTGTTCGTTATAAAGGGATATGACAAGGAGCAATTATGTACGTAGGAATAAACAGATAATGGTAATTGAGCATCATCTGTCTACCTGTCTAAAAAAGTTTTTGCAAAAACAGATCAGTATTAGTGGTACAAAAAAAAAACTACAGCAAATTAAACAAAGATTATTTGTTATTGAATTATTATTTGTTTTTTTTTTTTTCAACAATTTACTCTTAATTATAGGTGTTATAAGCGACAATTCAAATTTGGTACCAAAAAAAAAAATTTGATTTAGAAGTGAATAAAAAAAAAGCTAAAAATAATAAGCAAATTTATTTTGTTTCATCTTTTTTTTTTTTAACGCTTACAGTTATAATTATTTACAGATATCGTAAACTAAAAAAAAAAAAAAACCAATATCACAACTTTATAAGTTGTTTAGACAATGGCAAAATTTGTTGTTAAAAGTTGATAAATTGTAAATAAACTTGGCAGAAAACCTTTCAAATGCAGTGAAATGAATTGATTTAACAGTATTAATAATAAAGATGTTTTTCAAATAAAACTTTAAGAATTTTTAATCTTTGATTTAGAATATATTCTAAAAGCAGATTTAAAAGAACAGAAATAAAGCTGTAAAGCTCATTGTCATTGCTGCTGTCATTGGTGTTGCAAAGTAAATATTGCAAAAAAAAAACTATCAAAACTTTCCTTGCTAAGAAATACAGATATGTGATCAAACCAACTACTTTTTACCAAACGTTACTATAAGTTTCCAAAACTTTATCAATAAAGATTCTTATTTTTTTTTTTTTTTCATTGATACACTAAAACTAATTAAATACTTAAGACTAAGTTTCAATTAAAGCATTAAAAATTACAAAAAAAATTTACAGATGTTTTCGTTTGAACCGTGTATCAGTGTAGTTTTGACCATTTCCATAAGGTTTTTGATAGCTGTTAGTTGATTCTTTATTTAGTAAATCCAATTTCACACATTAGTCAACATACAGACACTTTGTCTAAGGTTATCAATCAACAATGCTCTTTTCTAATCTTTAAAAATACATTAATTTTTATAACGGAATATTTTATTCTGCTTTCTATGCCTTTACTATTATTAAAAAAATTTTCTTTTATTATTTTTTGCCCTTTCAACTTTAAAATTATTCACCATTGTTATTTTAGCCATATATTATTATTGTTTTAAAATTTATTCAAATTTTCAATTACTGTGTAATTTTTTTTTTATAATTTAATTTATTAGTATTAAAAACATAATTAATTAGAAATTACATTGAAAAAAAATTGAACAACAATTCTGTTTTTACGTCTGTTTTTCAACTACACCCATTTTTTTTTTTTTTTTTCAATAACACTGCATTAACAGTTTATAAAGACAAAAAGTATGAAAGATTTTGCATATTTTATTATAAACAGAAAAAAAATAATTTTTTTTTTGCATACTTTTATTTCTTCTATATTACTGTTGTTTTATTATTGTTGCTGTTTGAATAATCATGAAATTGATTTTTGCATAGGAAAGATGAACAATACTATCAACTGCTTCTGTTTCTGTTTCTGTTTTACCGACAACCGATTGATGCCACCTAAAAATTCTGTCAACTGCATCTGCTCTGAACGGTTTTTTAAAATTGATCCAACCTAAAACCAGGTTTTCAGTAATAAATTGCTTAAACAGTCATATTTGATTCTTTTAGTTAGTTTTTTTTGTCTACTGGAAATTTACGTTTTAAAAATTGTTTACTGTTATATAAGTGAATATTGTAATTTTGTTTGCAAACCTTTCTTAGCAGACCTTTGTTTCGATTAATGCCTAAGAAAACGTTGCTGACATATGAGTTGCTTAACAAAATGTTTGTACGTACTCATTGCTAATGGTCTGTTCAAGAAAACCTGCTTAAGCAGTTAGCAAAAAAAAAAAAATTAATTAATTATTGAGCAAGTTTGTAAAAGAACCAAGTTTTAGACAGCAGGTAATACTCAATGAATTAAACGTTAATAACCCAATGTATGTGGAAATGTATAGAATTATTATATCACAGTCAGAATAGATGTTGTATACTGCAATGTACGATTATCGTTATTGTTATTATTGTTATTGTTATTGTTATT